CCGCCGGCGCACATTCAGGACTTCAAGTTCATGTGNAAGAGGTTGCATCGCTATCGATCGCGGCTCGATGGTGCGCCGCCAACTTAGAGTCAGTGCGATGACGAGCGCGCTGCTCCTCGCGCTGCTGCCGTCGGCCGGTGCCTTCGGTCCCGCGCCGCGCCGCCGCGCCGCGACGCGGGTGGCCGCGGCCGAGGCGCCGAGCATGGACGAGGACTGGACCGATTCCCAGTGGTCGATGTACGCGTCGCAGAGCGGCCGCTGGGAGGGCGTCTGGACGACGTTCAACGACCAGGGCATCGAGACCATGAGCCACGAGGGCGTCTGGGACGTGCAGCTCGTGCCCTGCCCCGACGGCTCGGAGGGCGACGCGGCCGTGCACAAGCTCGAGGTGCCGACGCCGTCCGGCGCGCCGCGCGAGATCCCCGTGGGCACGTACCGCGCGGGCGCGCTGGGCCGCCAGGTCTGCGCGGGCGCGGGCATGTGCAGCGGGCCGAGCCTGCTGCGGAGCGGCCTCATGTCGACGGAGCTGATCCTCCGCCACGGCGCGAGCCGCTTGCGGGTCACGCTGCAGCACGCGCCGGCGGAGCCCGCGGAGGGCAGCGAGCTCGACGCGCCGGCCCTGCTCTGCTACCGCTGCGTCGTGAGCCGCGAGCGCTGCGACGGGTCGTTGGGCGCGCCGACGCGCGAGATCGAGGCGAAGCGGTGGGACGACGTCGAGCGCGGGGCAGGAAAAGAGAGCGAAATTCCCAACTTCAAAGGCTCCGATCTCGGCCGCTTTCCACTCGTTTCGGCTGATTTTTGGACGAGCGATCATCTCCTGGAACGGTCTCGAAGCGTGGATGCTTTTCCCGGAACGCGCGCGCGCGGAACACTCACGTTGAAGCGAACTTGAATCTCTCTTTTCCTGCCCAGGTCGAGCGGCCCGCGGACGGCGACGACACGCACTTCTGGCGCGGCGTGAACCCCTGGGCCTGGCGGCGCATCTGGGGCGGCGACGCGGCCGTGGCGACGGGCCGCGAGTCCCTCCAGCGGTTCCTCCTCGACGAGGTCGAGCCCGACGACCTGTGGCACGAGTTCATGCGCACGGGCGAGGCGTCGTACAATTTGGTGCTCCCGGGCGGCATCCGCATCCAGGCGCCCCAGGTCGTCCAGTCCTCGGTCCCCGCGCCCATGCGCGTCGCCTGGATGCCCAACGGCGACGAGCTGCTCCGCGCGGAGGCCGTCGTCGTCGCGCTCGAGCCCACGGACGACGACCGCCGCTTCCTCCCGCCGAAGCTCGTCACCTTCCGCGCGGACGCGCTCGTCAACAAGGGCGCCAAGCCCACGGACCCGACCTACGTCGACCCGCCGGAGGAGTTCGATAACGCGGCGTGAGCTAGTGGTTTACAGCCCGCGGTCCCGGATTCCGAACAGTGCAACTTGCTGTGTTGATTTACAGGGTGCTTTGTCTAGATAGGGGAGTGAAGCGCCGTGATGCTTACAAGCCGTCCCTGTCTAGGCACGCGAGATTGATCGCGGCGTTCTCGAAGCCCTTGGCGGCTGCGCGCGAAAACCAGCGCCTGGCTTCGCCGACGTCACGTTGCACGCCTTGGCCCGTACGGTAGAAGCAGCCCATATTGTATTCGGCCTCCGTAAGACCTTGTTCCGCCGCAAGCCTGCAGTACCTCGCGCCCTCGACAAAGTCGCCTGCTGCGAAATACTCGTTTGCTAGTGCGCACTGTGCCTTCGCGAAGCCGCGGCCCGCGGCCATGCGATCGAGTCGCGCCGCCTTCGTACTGTCCATCTTGACACCTTCTCCGATGGCATACAGACGTGAAAGGTTCACCATCGCCTCCAAATTTCCGAGTCCCACGGCGCGTTTGTAGATTTTCGCCGCCTTCTTGGGGTTTATCGGCAGGTCGTAAATTCCCGTTTCATACGCGAGCCCCAGGTTGAAGACCGCTTCTGGCACGTCGTTCTCCGCGTGGCGACGGACTCCCGCAAGAGCTTCCTCCATTGTTTGGTAAGGCGTTCGACAGAGTGGGCACGGCTTGTATCCAATCTTGTCCACGCACGGCCCGCAGATCATTCGACCGCAGCAAGAGCGGAAGATGTCGGACATCGAGTTCACGTCCCACTCCTCGAAGCAGACTGGGCACCGCGAACCCCGGCGTTCAGAATACGGCTCCGGCGCCGGTTCCGCCTCGCGCCGCGCGCGGGCGGCCTCGTGCTCCGCGGCGATGCGCGCGCGGACCTCGTCGGCGTGCGACCGAGGCGCGGGGCCGTAGAATACCACCTCTTCCGGCGGGGGCGTCGGGGCTTCCCCCCGCGCCGCCTCCGCCGCGCGCTCGTTCCGGATCTTCTTGCACGCCTTCCGGTGGCCGCGGTCGCGCCAGTCGATGCGTTGGCACTCGGTTGAGCAATACTGCGTGGTGCCACAGGGGCAATTGAGCTTGGCCTTTTCAGAGCAGATGGAACAGGTCAGACGGAGCTTGAAAGCCTTCGCCCTGGCCTTCTTCACCTCGTACTCCCGCTGCTTTTTCTGCCAGTCCTTCTCGCCTTCAATCGGGGGGTCCATGGTAAGCGAGTTTGGAAGTCGTGTGAAGGGGGGCGGCGGGATTATTAGCGTCGGCGACGGTCTCGGGGGTCTCGGCGTCTGCTCCGGGCGCGGACTTGGCTCGTCGAGTTGTTTTTGCCAAAATTTTGGCAGAGAATTTGCCATTGGCGATCAGCCACACCCAAACGCGTCGACCTACTCCGCAGAAGCTGCTACATCCCCCCAATCAATCAAAAGCAAACTACAGTAAGAACGGCACGATCGCCCTCCGGCCGGCCGGGTAGTCCGCGCCG